ACATGAACTGTTCAGATAGCCAAGTTCCCCGAAATAAGTTACTTTTTAACCATCATGACGGTTCTCTAGGCCGTCATGTAAATGCCGCGTCGCGCAAAAGTTTAGAAATTCAAGCGTAGTGTGTCACAAAACCAAGAACCCATTAGGAGCGAAAATTTGTATGAATATTAGTTTTCAGCTGCTTTCATACCTCATTAAAGTAAAATCTTAGGAAGATGAATAGTTTTGTAGTTCGAATTTTAGTGACGTCATGTGAAAACCAGCTATTGGATATTTCGATTGCTTGATATCTTTAATTTAAACCTCGCTCAATGACTCAGTATTCCGAACCATTAGACAGCTGACCGGCAAATCGTTTTGCTTCACCGTCTGATCTCGCATTTAAAGGCGAAACAACCAAAATAAACGATTCAGTTGATCCATACCAGGAGTCAAAATTAAGGGCAATAACTGCAAAATCAGTGACTTGCCAAAGCAGGTAAAAAAATAATGTCTGTTAAAACTTTATTCCGGAACTCTTTACAGGCTAAATGCGATAAGCGAAAACAACGTACAATACTCAAACACAACGACACAAGAACTCAACGAAAACCTAGCGAAACGCCATAAACACGTTTTCATTCTCTCTCTCGCCGGGGGAGGGGAGTGGTGGGGGTGTCTTTCACCCCCAAAGATACATGGAAAAATCTCTGACACTCACCCCCGTTGACCAGTTGCGCCAATGGTCAATTAAACCTTAAGTCTAAGGGGCAATGTTCACCACTCCTTAGGCAATTACTCTGAACTTATGGCAAATGTGCACTGTTCTCAAAGTTCACTGTTCTTAGAACTTAACAATCAACGTTCCTAAAGCAACTGATTTTCCATCAATGCTCTCCGTTCTCTGTCTGCCCTACGTGCTGCTTCCCGCCTGGGCCGCGCCTCTTCATTCTCGGTTCCAGCATGCAAATCTGGGACATCCACTGTCAAATCCTCTTGTGAACGAATTTTAATGGATACAGCTTTTGTAGTGGACGTCTCAACAGTGTTGGTCTCCTCTTCTTAGGTGTGATTGACTTGAAAACTGCTCCACGGAAAAGTCCATCCTTGCCTTTGATAAGGTTTTCGACTCGGCCAAGTTTCCAAAGTCCTCGATGCAGACCATCTTCATGAACAATAAGTGTCCCCAACAACAGCCGTTTGACCTTCTGCATCTTTCATTTTAACCCGGTGGGAATTTCTTAGTTCAAAAAGATATTCGTTACTCCACCGAGTCCGGAAGTGATCCTTGAATCTCTCGAGTAAGGCTACCCTTCCTCTAGCTTCTTCACCGTTCAGTTGGCTGATTTCGATTTCTTCTTGATCTGGCACAGCCAATAAACGTCTCCCGCACAATAAATGGTAAGGGGTCAGGGGTTCTTCAATTTCTCCACTGGATACGAATGTGAGGGGTCTGGAACTAGTACTGTTTGAAGTTCCTAACTTGTTACCTTTGCATTCTTTAATTTAGAATCTTCTTCAGGCACCTTTTCACACTCTGCGCTAATCGCTCAAAGTAACCACCTCACCATGGGGCCCTTTCAAGATTGAATGTCCACTTTACTCCTTTGTTGGGGAGAAGTCTTCTTACTGCTGCTGAATTAAACAGGGCTCTTCACGTCTTGGATGCAGAATTAAAGGTCTTCCCACTGTCTGAATTCAATTTACGAGGAAGTCCACGACGACAAATCAGCAACAGTGTACAGTGTAGCAGTGCAGGCGTACAGCTCTAGGCACTGCACAAGTGTATACTGAGACATAAGTCTTACGCATTTAAGCGTTCTCCTTTACATAGAGGAGACCCGCGAAGTCCACACCAGTGAAGGTAAATGGTTGCTCCTTTGTGATCTTGAACGGGGGCAATGCAGGCGCTGTGGGTGAAACTGTAGGGCTTTCTTTGTAGACGACGACAAGTTGGTCATCTACGCAAAATCTTGTTTACAGCTTGTCTCCCCCTAACAATCCAGAATCTTGAGCGCACTTCAGTCAGTGTCTCTTTAACTCCATTATGATGGACCCTTCCATGGCAAGCTGTTATGATGACAGAAGTGGCATGATGGCTTGCGTTCAGCAAGACAGGGCGTTTTTGTGACTCTTATAATTCTGCATTTCCAAGCCTCCCACCACATCTCAGGATTCCGCTTGGGTCTAAGAACACTCCAAATTCTCCTTTCCAGTTCTTGAACTTCGTATTCGACATTACCTTGATTTGAATATCTCTAATGCAAAGCTCTTCTACCTTGAAGATATCATCTGCTGAAATGTCTGCTGGGACAAGTCTGGGCTCCCGTCCCTTGGACTTCAGTTTTCGTATAAATCTCAGAACAAGAACTGTGATTGATAGCAATCTTTACAGGCGACTAAATCTCTTGCAATCAATAATGGCACTCACCGTTAGACTAGAAGATCCTGCAAGAAGTGACGAGCAGGGTAGCTTTGACGCAAGGTCACGATGTTCCTTCTTTGCTTCCTGCAGAGATTGAACAAGAGCTTGTTCAACATTGATGGTTTCTTCGCTGATCTGCTTTGCCTCTTAGTAGGACTTCAACCAGTCTGGCCCAGAAACCCATGTGCTCTTCGCCAAGACTGCTGGTGATGTTCCGCGTGATGCTATATCGGCTGGGTTATCTTTACTTGAGCAGTGACTTCATGCATTTGGTGGCACAAGACTTCTGATCTCACATACCCTGTTCTGAACAAACTGTTTCCACTTACGGTCTTCTCCACGAATCCAACACAGGGCTACTTCTGAATCAGACCAGCATCTTACATGAGAAATTAGAATAAACTCTTCCAAGACAGTTCGGACATGAGAAATCAGTCGGGCCAAAATCAGTGCTGAGAGCAGTTCATGGCGTGGAATTATTTTCTCGACAAGTGGCGCAACTCTCGTTTTCGATGTCACAAACTTGAGGTATGTTTTATCAGGTGTTTCTATCTTCAAGTACACTACAGCTGCATACGCATTGACTGATGCATCACAGAAACCCTGTAGTTTGTTGACTGCACCTCCCCTGCAACACCGAAGAAGTAGCATCGTGGCACCCTTATTGGCTCTGCCTCCTTCAGGCTCTTCACTAGATGCCCCCAAATCTCTCTTAATCCAATACTTCATCCCAGCCCATCTTCTTCTAACATAAACTTTGACAAAATAGTTTCATTTTGACAGTCACCGGGGTAGTAAAACCCATGGGGTCATAAAGCTTGGACTAATCCGTGCTACATCACGCTTTGCCGGGCTCCAATCGTCCAATGATGAATCTTCCAAAACTTCTTTCAGATCAAGGACCATTTGATCTTCCTCCTTGTTCCAATGTACACCCAAGACATTCTCAGTCGCAGGTAGGGCACTTCCATTGTGTGTTTCACTCTTTGCATATGATTCATCTTCTTCCATCACAGTCTCATAATTGTCCTTTGATACAAGGAACTGATTTCCATAGCAATTGTTTTCTAACAATCTCTCATTCTCTTCGATCTGGCTTATTAATTTCTTGGAGCTGGAAACAAACTTAATTAAAATCCACCTTCAGCTAGTCTTGATTTGGCTTTAATGTATAACTCATAAGCTTCAATGTCCTTACTGTCTCCAGAACTAATGTCATCTACATAGATGACATTAGATAATTGACTGGGCCCGATAAGACCCAACCCAACTTGGCGTGCATGGCTGTTGGGCCTGAATCTCCTCGGATGAGTCCGCCTGTGACGAGGTACCAGTATTGATCTGCACCGACCAGTATGTAAATGTCTGCTTTTCCGTCACAATGATCAGCTAAAGTCAAGCCAGCAAGATGGGGGTAATTTTTCACTGCCTGTTTGAGACACTGGCCTTGAACCGGGGAACTGATGACAGGGACACAGATAGCAGAAAGTGTTACCTCATCACTACCCAGTGTGTCTATACATAGGTTAACTACTTTGCAAAGTGATTTGCAGTATTGGAACCAAATGGCTTGCTCGTTAGGGACTCTGAGTGGGAAACAGGTAAATGCAAGGCATCTCGGACTCGTTCTGTAATATACGATCTCTGGCTTCCTCCATAAATAGTTGCATTTTCCGTCTGCAGGAGAACAGTGCTCTTTGTACCCACAGACATATTCACAGGTGATATCATCCCTTTCTCATCGACTACACTTTCAAGCTTTTGGTTTTCCGTACTGATTGGGCTTTTAGTTGTCTCGGTAGGATCACAGATGCTGGAGTGATGTCGTCCATGGCACTTGCTACAACGGGATCGTGAGCGGCAATTTTTACTGTGGTGATATTTTCTGATACGAATGAAACAACTACCACTGTTCTTTAGAATTTCCTTGCGCTTTTGAACATTGGTGACAATATTACACTGAACAGATGGGTGATGCTGACCACAGTAAACACATGCAGATTTCTGATTTCCGTCTGAACCAGCCATGAGTGCAAAGGTAGAGGGGGGCTCCCTTGCCCCCTGATTTCTTGACAGGTGGCAGGTTTTTGTCTGCCTTTGTGGGCGTATCTCCAAACTCTGTGACTGTTGAATAATCACAACGTTCCCTGTTTGTGTTAGTTCTTCCTTAAGCGCCTTCAACACTGCCTCGAGGTTCCAATTTTCTTTCGAGACAGATGCTTAATCTGATTTCTTCTGGTATTTTGTGAAACGTCAAGGGAAGCAAGAGACCTCCATATTCTTCTGCCTTGCGGCCTAATACACTCAATGCTCGCACATTTGCCTCCACTTCGTCATAAAGATGCCTCACCGCCTTCAAATCACGTGCATTTTCAACAATAGGGAGATTAATAATTGCATCCATGTGAACATTAACAATTTTCTGAGGATCTCCATACCTTTCCTTTTACACTGTCACAGCTGCATCATAATTCGCGCTTGACAAACTCAAACCATTGATGGTGGCCGCCGCGGATCCTCGAAGTGACGCTCAAGGATTGGGGAACTTTTCAACCGGAGTAAGCGACTGATTTGAATTAATTGCTGAATCAAAGCTGTCCCTGTCCTTGAATATTGACATCGAATGACAGTAGATGTAATTTCGGAAGTCTCGCCTGCCGCCTCCATGAGATGGCTCATCAGCTTGCTGAGGAGAATTCCCTTGCGTGGGTGGCGCGACAACATCGCTTACTTGCTCAGTTTCCTCGCGCGTGACATCCTCGAGTGTGGTCAAGCAAATATCAATTTCAGCCATAAATTCGGAAGAATCTCTGCTTCGATGTTTTCCTCTTCGACTTGGGCCAAATTTTTTTCATTGATTGCGGCGATTACATCCATCTTCTTTGCAGAGCCGACTTCTAATGTTTGATTCGACTTCTGTGTTCGGGGATTTCACGGTCGTAGTTTCCCGCCAACTCGTTTGCTTCGTTTACTACTCGTCGTACATGTGCCTTGTGTCCATTACGAATCACCAAAATCCTTGTTCTTCGGCCGAAGTCTTCGATCGCTCCTCTTACGAAGTTTCGCTTTTCATCCGGCACTGAAGTACCGGATGAAAACTTTCCGGAACGCTTTACCGGCTAAATGCCATACGCAAAAACATCGTACAATACTCGAACAAAACGACACAAGAACTCAACGAAAACCTAGCGTACCGCCACTAACACGTTTTCGTTCTCTCTCTCACGGGGGTCTTGCGCCCCCAAAGATACATGGGAAAATCTCTGACAGTCTTTCTTTAAAACAACAATGTTCATTATCACTTCTTTCTGTTGTACACTGACGGAAACATTCTCCATATTGACACCATTTAAGGCCTGATACAAAGATTACTCGAATCCTGCTTCGACGCCGCTATTGTTAATCCCATACATTATATAGAAACATGAAAGTGAAGGATGATCATCGCAGTAATTTTTCCAATTTAAGCAACTGGAAAGAAGAAGCCTGAAAAAATCAGGGCTTCAACGGGATTCGAACCCGTGACCTCCGCGATACCGGTGCGATGCTCTA